AGATATTAGAATCGCTCACGAATATATCACTGGATCTGTTGATAGTATTTTCATCATCAAATTGATGGATATATAGTCAGCCGTGCCAACAATCTTTACCTATTACTTACTTAAAGTTGTGTTTTATTTTATAAGTTCGAATCTCTTCTCAACTAGTCACTTATATTCACTCACGTGGCATTACTATCAGCCTCTGTAAAGTAAATAGAACTTTCTTCTCAAATGCATATAAATGCATTAAGCATCTGAATGACATCGTCATCAAACCGTCAAGCAATCAAATCCCTGCAAATCAGCATTTCGAAATTAGTCTGATACTCACTACTGACAGTAAGTTACCTGCAGCTCTAGTTAGAAGTCATGACCAGCACGATCGACCAAGTCTGATAAGAGCACAGCTAATCACAGAGATGACACTGACTGGTAGTTGCTCTATATATGGCGGATTGGCAGAAGTTTGAAATCATGGGCCTTTGTATTGGGTCCCAATGGCTGAATGGCTAACGAGCTCGCCTTCTAACAACCGGGAGATCCTGAGTTCGAACCTCGGTAGGTGCATACCACCGAAAAGTAGTCCCGAACTGTCTAGTATTCCTTGGTTTTCTAGTGACGAGACCTGTAACCAATCGAGTCCATGCCAACCATCACCTGGAAATCAATATATCAGAAATAGAGGGGTAAAATACCAAAATATGAATGAAAGTAGACCTTTCAGTGAACTCACTTTCGTAAATTTCTACAACATTCTCATCATTGTAACACAATCTGAGAATGATTGGAAATTATGCTATAAAATCACAAAATATTGATTTTTACAGCATATCAAATTACAGAACACAGTGTGTGTTGTACACATTTTGTGTGAAGTGTCGTCGTCGTTCCAATGTATCAATTTCCATGTAATTCTAATCTCATTCCACTTCTCTTCTTCATATAAAAAAGAGAGAAGTGTAACGTGGTAATTTCATACACGTATTCATCATTCTCTTACCAAATGAATGATTTTTTTAAAAAATTTTGGTAAAGAATGTCTTGTCTCTTCATATAACTTGCTCATCAAGTAGAGAAAAAAAAGTAGAATAAACGCAACTCGAAATATGCTTGGTTTAAAGTACTTGTAATTTATATTTTTTAACTAGAATGCATTGAATTGTTAATTGTTGTCTCTATGATTTAGAGTTTTGTGTGCTAGCAATCACAATCTGTGAGTATACAGGCTTATTAAATGAAATCATAATAATCAATAAAGTTATCTTATTTGTATGTGCGTTTAATTGTAACTCTATGAATCACAGATACTTGCTGATTTATATGAAGCATTCATGTTATATATATATATATATATATATAAATTAGGCACAAATTAGTTGGACTTTTATGAAACAGCCTGCATTAAAGATAAAATGACCTGAAAAAACAGGTTACATTTTGATCAATATTGTGAGTACTATTGCAAAATTATTATCACTAATATTACTACATTTTTTTTTTGATTGAACACAAGTCAGTAACTAGTGTAGTGTGCCTATTCCCCTCTCTTTGGTGGTGCAGACTGAATTCTATCAGTCAAGTTTCCAATGTGACCACCATGCTTAGGTGACTTGCCATCATGGTGCACTGTGAATTGTTGGTATTAGATTACTGACTAGAGTGTCCAATCAAAACTACGCAATACAGTCTCCTACAGGAGGTCAATTGCGCGCCCGGATAGCTCAGTGGTAACGTCTTTGACTGTAGCACTCACTGAGTGACACAGGTTCAAATCTCAGAAGGGACATGAGTTCTTTCAGAATTGCAGATACGCCTTGCTGTCTTGTGAGTGCCAACTAGCACGAAACCTAGATCCAAGGCTTCCTGTCGATGGCCTCCTACCATCTAATGCCAACAATTAACACATATACGATTCATATCTTCGGCTTACTTCATCAAAGACTCAAGGATAAACGGTACCAGATTATGAATTATTTTTTATTCAATATTGAATTGTGTTAAGCATCACAAAAAGCCTCACCTCTTGTCATTCTTATTTGAATCAAAATTATTCGAATTGGTCTTATTTTACTAGTTTATAAACGATTAATAATTTTAGTAAAACACATCAAGACACATCAAATACTGTGTGTATAAATAAATAATTTCGGATATATATTCACCACCTGGCTGTTTATTCATGTGTTCAATTTTCAAGTGATTTTAGAAATTTAAACAAAGATATATTTTCATGAGATGATAGATGTGTGTGTATATATATGAAGAGTTAATAACTATTAAATTTTGTCTTATTTTTGATGGCTTATCTATATATCACAAAATTAATATATGAATAAAAGTGTTTCTCAGTAGATGACAATGACAATTAACTAACCGAAATTTAAACAACTTTTTGATCATTTAATCTATTGAACATTTGTGATGCATTTAATATGCGACTTGAGATAAATTAAGCCTACTTTTCGCGCGATGTTTATTATAATAGATTAATATAATCCAAAAAAATTGTTGAAACTAATTTTATATTAGCCAAATAATTAGTTTTATGCTAGGACTCTTCAGCAATATGGCTACATAGATTCTGTGATTAGATTGAATAAAGTAGGAGTCCAGTATGACAGTGTCAAAGAAAATAGGGAATTTTCAAGAGTCAGTTTGTTGAGATATGATTTGCAATTAATAGTGTTCTCTGAGCTGGTTGGTTTAGTTGCGAAGCTTTCGTCGTCCTTCTGGACAACATCTTCAGCGCCATATTTAGCACAAAGTGAAATGATTTAAATTTCTTCATGAGTGATATAATTGCGTCTCCCGGTAACCATCTTTACATATGTATTGACCATTTTCTATTGACTTGGATTTTAAACTTTCTGGTCACCTGATTTACTTTTTATTAGTTGGTATATTTCGTCTATATATTAACGTGCTTGTTAATTGCATTTTCGTTTGAGTACCAGGCTTCTAGGAATTCCCTGACTGCACTTTTGGTGTTTCCTCTGTCTAAGATTTTGACATTATCCCAATCAAATTGATGACCATAATTGTCTATATGCATTGATACTAAAGAATACATATCGTGTCTTTTCACGGCTGATTTGTGTTCTTGGATTCTAATTCGAAGGGACGCCCACTTTGGCCGATGTAATGCTTGTTGCAGTTCATACAATTTATTTTGTAAATGGTATTATTAATTTTATCTCCTTTTTCTGTTGGATCTTTCAGTTTGCATAATATCGAATTAAGCGATTTGACTGGCTTGTGTGCTAAATCTGTATCTAACGGTTTCAGTATTCTAGCTGTTATTTCAGAGATATTCCTCATGTATGGTAGAATGAATTTTCTTGTGGTCTTTGATGATGGTTTCTTGTTGGTGTTTTGATTTGACTTTAAACACTTTTTGATGAAATTTTATGGATAACCATTCTTTTTGAAGACCGTTTGTAGGTAGGTACGTTTCCTCCATTCTTTTCAACTCTGGTGTGCTACAATGTGTTTGAACTCTTTTAAACAATGTCTGCACACAGTTTCGTTTGTGAGTAACTGGATTATTGCTAGTATAGTTGAGTATTTGATCTGTGTGCATTGATTTTCTATATACTTGTGTTTCTAAATCTCCTGTGTTGGTTCTCCTGATTAAGACATCTAAAAATGGGATTTTGTTATCTAATTCTTCTTCTCTTGTGAATTTGATGTCTTCAAATATGTTGTTTATTAATTTATGAGTATATTCTAAATCGTTTCTCTTAATTATTACAAATGTATCATCAAAGTAATGTATCCAGATTTTCGGTTTAATTTTGTGTAGAGCTATTAATTCTAATCTTTGCATGACGGCTTCAGCTATTAATCCTGATATGGGCGATCCCATTGGTGTTCCTTTTATTTGTTCATATATTTGAGTATTGAATTGGAAGTATGTTGTAAGGCATAATTTTATGAGTTCTATCCAAGTTGATAATTGCGTTTTTATGTTTTCATCACTATAGAGTAATTGTTGCATAGTTTCTGTTGCTAGTTTTGGACTAATTGAAGTATATAATGCTGTGACATCAAAGGACACCATTATTTCATTGTCTTCTACTTGAATGTTTTTGATTTTCTCTAAAAATTGGATTGACGAATTGATAGAATGGTTGCATGATTCTGTTAGGTAATTTAATTTCCTGAAAAGTTCTTTAGATAGATTATATGTTGGTGTTCCTGGAAGCGAAACGATTGGTCGTAAGGGAATGTTTGGTTTGTGTAGTTTTGGTCTACCATAGAATCGAGGTAAAATAGGTCCGTTAGATTTCATTCGCCATTGATCTTGTTCTGTAATTTGTCCTGATTTCGTTAGTTTATTTAACGTTGTTCTGATTTTGTTATCTAATGTTTGTTTGAAATTCCATCGCGGATTAGTATCACTTAGAGAGGCATTGAAAGCCAGAGAGTACTGGGCAGCTGTTTCGTCCTAGTCTAGGAATGTTCAGCTGTACTCACACACGACTCCTCCGGAGAGAAAACCTATAAAAAACTAATAAATCTTGTAAATTAACCGGATACACACTAGTGAATGACTACAGAACGACGTTGCCTGCAGTTCTAGTCGGGTTTGAAGACAAATACTCACTGGTAAATTTGTCTGATAGTCGCGGTAGAATCGTGAATTGACAGAAGTTAAAGTTCGTGGGCTATTTGATCCCATCCCGGTGTCTGAATAGGCAACCGTCTCATTTCGTAACATGGAGGTACTGGGTCCGATCCACGGTGGGATCATGGGTACATACTGCTGAAGAGTTCGAAACTAGGACGAACCGTGATAAAACTTGAAATAGAAAATTATGATGACTAGACCTGACTCTAATATCTAGATGGGGATATACTCACCGTAATGCCTACATTTCTTTTGATCCCAAATGAAGGCATAGTTTTGTAATACTGAAGAGACTCAAGTTAGCATGGAATAGATTTCTACTGGTTTTTGGATTAAAGATAAAATAAATTATTTGTATATTTATCTGAAATAAATCTAGGTGATCTGTGCAAGGGATATGCAAAGTCCAAGACCATTGGAGGGATTTGGTTTCTCACTTGGATTGAATGGTGCTGATCTAGATGATAATGGTTATCCAGACATGGCGATTGGAGCAACTTTATCTAGTTCTGTGGCTGTTCTACGAACACGACCTGTTGTCAGGTAACTTTGAACACATTTTATGAATATCGTTATATTCATTAACTAATTAACTGATATATATGTCCAAACCAAGTTCACTTTTAACAGTTTGAAAAAATTTGGGCATTGGGTATATGATATTCATTATAATAAAGGTTTTTGTATTTCGCAATGAATGAAAAACAAAACGATATTGTTTTTACTGACGTTAACAAAGAGTTAACTTTTTGTTATATATATGCTGAGATTTTGTAAATTCCGGTTTAATAATACTTTGATAAAGCTATGAGCATTAAATAGCGAAACGTCAGTAAAAACAATATCGTTTTGTTTTTCATTCATTGGGAAATACAAGAGAACCTTTATTATAATAATTAACTGATATTTCTCTGCTCTTATAGTTTAAATAAACTGTTATTTCGTCGTGTTGTCCTTTAGACACGTATAGTTATTACCTGATAAGCTATTTCGGTTGAGCTGAATCATCCTGAGATACCTGACATACACATTGATAAGACTAAAACCACCTCCGAACAAGTCAGGTAAGCCGCTTTCTGATTCTGGGCTGGAGTCTACAGAAAAGTCTGTTCATATAAATTATATCTCTCCAGTTTTCCTACAGTGGCTCGCAGTTGATTGTAAGAAATTCAGTAAGGATGAACTACATAAATTTCGTCATCTTCAAACAAGTCACTAGTGATTGGTCTCAAGCAGTCGTCCTCTAAGCTTTGTGATCATAAAAAACTGACCCTTTTTCCCCCTACCAAGTACTTCACAATGAAGTCAGCTTCCACAGTGTGATACGCTTGATAGTAATGATCGTCCACACTTTCCCACCAACATATAAACCGCATGTGCTTAGTCACCTACTCTTTCAATCTTTTCTTCATCCCTAAAATTTATTAAATTCTCTGTTTGGTGATACCATTATTCATCTTCTATTAGGGCTTCATGCTAGAGGCTTGAAGTTTCTGTAGCAGTGTTTATTTTTACAGGATGCGGGTGGCTAGCCTCATGCCCCAACCTTTCCTCTTTATCAGCTTTATTTCTGGCTTAGCGAGGTAAAGGAGTGCATCGGCCAGGCATCGAATCCCGGACCATGTGCATTGTCGGCGAGCATCCTAACCGCTCTGCCACTGGCGCACCATCTTCTGTTAAATCAATGGCAATGGCTTGTTACTTTTGTTACCTTGTTTTAATGTCTTAAAACCACATTAATCATTTCACACTGGAGCTATCAACGTCCGGACATTGTGCTGAATCGAACAACTATCTTTTTTTGCAGTAATGTTGACAACTTGAGTTTGCAGTTTATCTTAAGTTACTGAGATATGATTACAATAAGACTAAGTCCCACTTGGCTAAAATGGCGAATCTGTGAAATCCACCTGAGAAGGAAGTCATCAGATTTTGTAACTATTTCTCATGGATCTACTGACATGGAAATAACATAAAGCTGCGGAGATTAACTCATTGTCTGACAGGATTCCAGCAGTCAGTTGTCTGTGTGAAAATCCAACTTAATGGGTCCAGTAAAACAATGAGAGAATATAATACCTGTTTGTGCCTCAGTAGCTTCTTCTTCTTTTCAGCGCCCACTGACTGGAGTTCGGACGCAAAAAATGGGTTTTTCTATTCTGAACTTTTTGTTCTTATATTCATGTCTGGATGGCTATTTTCTGTGAATTAAAAAATTAGCAGGAACCCTTTGACAGTGAAGGAACTCAATGCGTTTCTGTGCTATTCTTTCAAGCTTGCTGAAGTCAATACGAAGACCGGTTTTTTCAGAGATTGTATAAATAAGCATAGATATCTGCAGTGGTATTGGAAAGCTCTTCTTCCTCGCAATCATGTTTATCCTAACTTCAAATCTCTTAAAAGTCACACTTTGAACCACATCGACTCCATTCTTTCACGTGTTTCAGAACTGGAGAAAAAACAACACAACGATCCTTTGCGTTATGTGAGTTGTCAAGTGATAAGCGCCAAGCTTTCACTGAGTATATGAGTATGATCACGGAGAAGCGCACAAAATCTGTTCATTAAAACCTGTTAAGTAGCCTAAAAGCCACTGAAATACGGCGCGAATTTCCAGAAGATCTTACTAAATTTATGTTCAATCATTCTTCAGTAACTTTATCTCCTATACAACTGGTGACCTTGTCTGTCAGACTGAAATTCTGCTATGCGAACTAAAACATTAGCGAGTTTTTTCCATCAAGAATTGTTGAGTTAGATTTGCATGAACCAACATGCTGAGACTTAGTCATATTAGTCAATGACTTTTGTAAAGTGATTGATGAGATTGAGCAGAATTCTATTTAAAAAAAAGAAAATCAAGTTAAGGTCAGTGTCGTAAGGAGTAGAAATATAATAATAGGTGTTGAAAAATAAGATAATTGAAAAGTAGTACACACCCACTGAGGTCCGAACCAAGGACCTTTCAGTTACAAGGCAAGCTCGTATACCATTCAGCCACTGGGACTCGATTCAATGGCTCATGAATTCTAACTTCTACCAATTCGTGATTTAGCGCAACCCCAACCATTGTCGTAGGTGCGACATCCATCCTCACACGTGACATTTGGATGAACCTCGAGTCCCAGTGGCTGAATGGTATACGAGCTTGCCTTGTAACCGGAAGGTCCTGGGTTCGAACCCCCTATGGTGGGTGAGTACTGTCGAGGATTCCCAAACTAGGATGAAACAGCTGTCCAGTACTCCAGTGCTGGTTTTCAATGGTTCTCTAACTGATATCAATCCGTGATCAACTCGTAAAAACATAACTAACCCTTACAAATCAAACTATAGAAAATTAAAAAGTAAACAAAATTAGGATTAACAAAAATTATATCTGCAGTGCTAAGACAAATTAGGTCCATTGACTGAGAAAACTCCTCCTGTAGGCATAGTTCAAGATTTAACGAGGGGATCGCCCTCACTTTTACAGTTTGAAAGAATTTGATTCATACTCCTTAGACAAGGTTTCCACATACTCTGAAGGTGATTTTGAAGTCGGTTTGCGGTTTAGCTTGATGTCCAGAGTCGATCAGGTGTTACACAATCGAGCTGTGGGGAATTTTCTGTCCCCCTTATAAAACTATGACTCTGATCTTAATTTGACTCTTTTTCAAGTTTACTAGAGTTCTGTTTAATTCCGTCAATTATATTGCGTCATAAAATTCACTTATCTAACTTTGTGTAAGTTTTTACCCCATTGCCGCTTACTCCTTTACGTAATCATTATCTACTACCTAAAATTTTAGTGAGACATCTTTGGAAGCAATGCTTTTGTTGCTATGATAACTTACTACATATATGCGATTGGTAAAGATTGAGAATGATATCGCTGCAAAGAGTAACTTCTATTGTCTTTAGTATTTTATAAGACTTTATTATTTCCTTTTCATTACGTAATAGATTGAGGAAGCCTAAATACATCCAAGTTATTATTATTATTATTCCCTTGGGTTCCAAGTGGAACATAGGGCTTCAACAATGCATCTTCACTTTGTTCTATTTTCCGCTGTCCTCTTCAGCTGGGTCCACGATTCCCCATAATCTCTCATCTCCTCCACCCACAGTCTCCTCCATGTCACCCTCTCACCGACGGCCCACTCGTCGCTCCCCATTCAAGTTCCATTCGATGGCCTGACGTGAGATTTCATTCGACGGCCTCCTCAGAGTATGCCCAATCCATCTGCATTTCCTCCTACATATTTGTTGGGCAATCGGCTCTTGGTTGGTTTGTTCTCAGCCAGAGTTTCTTGTTACTAATTCTTTCTGGTCGGCCATTCCATCTTCAATATGGAGCCAGTGAAGGAGGCAGCTGTTGATAAAATTCTTGACAAGACTTGGAAATCCTTTTCGTGACACTCAGTGTAAGTTTCTGACTCATACAGAAGAAGAACTGACCGACTTGACATTGGTGTTGAAAATCCGAATCTTGTTGTTTATGCTGAGGTGGAGTGCAGATTTCCAAACTGGTTTCAGGTATCTTGCCTTTCCAATTACAATTAGGTAATTCGTTTCCAAATTCATGAACCTTATTTTCAGAACTTCTCAATTTAAGTCATGCATATAATCGCCAGTTATGTTTATGAATGAAATCAGTTCAATAACTGAATAAGCATCTGACTCGTTGACTCGACACTAGATTGTAACCAGAAGGTCCTGGGAACTAACCCCGGGGGGTGTACTGATGAAGAGTCCCAAAACTAGGACGAAACAGCTGTCCAGTACTCCCAGGTTTTCCAATGGTTCTCTAACCAATGTCAGCTCATGAAGAAATCCTGTAACCAATCAATCAAATCCCTACAAACCAATACTTGAATAGTAATAATTTCATTCGTCTAATCCTTCGTTTTATGCAGAATCTCAGAAGAAATATGAGTCCCTTAAAGATTGCAGATACGCCAAGCTGACTGACTGGTAAGAGTGCCACCAAGCATGGGACCTAGGTGTCCGAAGGCTTCCATCCGATTGCCTCCAGCCATCTAACAACGAATCTATCTCTTTCGATTGTAGAGTGAAAAAGGCAGAACGACTAAAAGAACTTTTTTTATCGTTCACTTTGTCAACGCGTAATATTGTAGTGACAAAGAATAACATCTCAACTTATAAATTTTATTATCTTTTTGTTTAAAATGACAGGCATTTTAGAGAGCAAATGAAAAAAAGAAATGTCAGACCTGAGATTTGTTTTACTTCACTAAACCACTAAGCTTTGTTTCTTTGTATCGCTTTAGAAAAAAGGATATATATATATATCATTTTGTTTCTTTAAGGTCACTAATATATGTGATTTATTGCATAAAACACTATAAGTTAAAGAAATTGTTTTTAACAGCATTCAAAGCTTTACAGATAAATGATGGTAATGCTGGCGATAACTAGTGTATCTCTGAGATATCCACTACTACTAATACTACTATTGTAACAGCAGAACACGATGGTATTTGGTTGTGGAATTGTTTATTTCATACAAGAATGCCCTTTTATAAATTTGAGCAGAGAAAGAACAAACATTGGTGCAGAATAACATGGATCCATTTTATTTCGTTGGTTCTCATCAGCTGCATACAATCTATAATCTTTAATCAATAAAAGTCAGCGTAAAACTCAATATACTTTTGATTGGACATTAGTAACTAGTGTGATGTCTCTAGTCCTTTGTTTGGTGTGCAAGAGGTCAGGTGAAAAGATGATGGTGTAATATGATGAGTAGAACTCATAAGATCAAGAAAAATTATCTCTTATCGAAGTCAAACTGAAGAAGTGAGGCGAGAGAGTCATTGCGGAGATAAGTTAATGCAATTAGAAGAACAATAGTTATTAAGGGATGAGTCACCAGGGTAATTGGAGTTCAACGACAGATTCCTTTTCAGCCGTTTTATTGAGATAGCCTCAGCGAACCGAAGAAGATTTGAGCTATTTTGTCTGTTAATTATTCTGAATGATGCCGTCGCGTCTACTCGGGGTGTTCAGTGTCTGTCAGGTGTTTGGTAGTTGAAGAGCTAAAACTACTTGGCCCCTTTAAATGGAAGCTCCTTGGTACATGTTCGAAGAATCTGACGTAGGCCCTTCTTTCTATTCTTCCAGTTTAACTGCTCCCGCAGATGCATGTGAATTCGTATACACAGTTGGAGGTAACATATAAGGGGTACTTTAACTGCACCAACGAGGAAGATGTTCTGAGTAGATAGATTAGTTTTGCTGCAGGATACGTCCTGGACAGGGTTGCACTTCATCTTTTACTTATGATTCTTTCAGTATCATCGCCTTTGAAGTCTAGTTTTGATGAAAACTGGCTTCTTGCTGACCGTAGGTTCATCATTAAAGATTATAGGTTGTATGCAGCTGATGAGAACCGACGAAATAAAATGGATGCATGTTATTCTGCAGCAAGGTTTGTTCTAACTGTAAATTTTAGATTACAAATTACTTAATGTAGAAAGTGCTAATCGGATAAAAACTGAAATAAAATCGAATAAGTAATTTGAGTTGCACAATACAATTGACGGGGTTGAGTAGAATTCAGCTAAAATTGAACAAGAGTAAAGTTAATGGTAGTAACAAGAGGTAGGAATTTCATAAGGGGTGGGGGAAGAAAATAACACAATTAAAAACAAAAATTACATATCCAGTGTTAAGACAGATTAGGTCCAGTGTAGATCTAATCACTGGATAAACTTCTTCTGTATGCAGAGTTCACGATTTCACGTGTGAATTGTCATTGCTTTTTGTGGTTTGAAGAAGTTTGATTCCGTACTCCTTTAGCAAGATTCTCACGTGTTCTGTAGATAACTTTGAAGTTCCTTTGTGGGTCAACTTTGCGTCCAGATTCGGTTAGCTGTTCCAAGATAGACATGTGTGGAGATGTCTTTTCTCCTTCATAAAACCATAGGGGTAAGTGTTCGATGATACGTTCGGATAGCAAACGCTGGGTACGCCCGATAGACCTAGCTCCACACGAGTAGGTGAGTTGGTAGACGCACATTGATGAGTGAGGCCAGCAGTGGTAGCTTATCCTTCACGTTCATGCGAATCATTGGTTTTGTGGAGAAAGTTATTCGAAGTTCACTCGCAAAGAAGGTTTTCTTCAGTGAGCAGGACAGGCAATTTCTCTGAAGAATCTCCATTGAATTGAAGATTCACGTACAGAATTCTTTGGGGAGCAGAAAGTGTGGGCAATTTTATTGGTTTAGGTTTCATGGATTTCGTGATGAAACGTACTGGGTAGCCGTTTTTGTGTTTTCAGCTCCTCTGTCATAGTGTGTTGGCTGCAATTTACGCAGATTCTGTGGCTCAGTGAACGAATCAATTTTTGTTTTGTGTATAAGAGGCACCCAACAATGAAAGTTACTTAGTTGTCTGTTCCATGTCAGCTTTCTATAAATGGATCTTTTTTTGAGTCATAAGAAAAAGGCACAAACAGCGAAGCAAAAATTTTCTTTTCGACGATTCATTTTCATGAGCTGTACAATCGTAATTATAATTGACAAAGAAATCTTTAGACCAGTCAGATACTGGTAAACTTTGTCCTTGAAAAATTGTATTACATAATGTAAGGTGTAAGAAGGGATGACTAGTTGTAATATATTAAATATTCCCGTAGTAAAATTTAGAACAACACATTTAAGCGAACAATATTGTGCTTTCAATTAGATCTCATCAGGCTTAACTCTAATATATATAAGTTTACAAATAAAAATTCAAATATAAACCAATTATGGTGTTTTGTCTATAGGATAATACGATGGTGAATATAAATTGTGCAATTAGTCATAATAGTAGTAATGATAATAATAATAATAATAATAATAATAGGTCTTATCAATAATAAGGATGAAAAAGTGAGGCAATCTGTGATAACACGAATAATGAAAAACAGTATGATTAAACAAACAACTGTTCAGGTGGAAGTAGTCGATAAAGGCTAGTAAAAACAAATGAACCGATTAAGTAATGTTAGATTGTAAGGGAAGGAAATGAAACACGTTTATAATGAAGATAAGATTAAGGGATGATAAGAAAGGGGTTGAAAATATAAACAAGGGGTGGTGTAGAAGTCATTAGTTGGTTATGTCTTAATAGGCCAACAAGGGAGGGATAATGGCTGTACGAACTTTTTTGAATACATAGTTTAGGTTTAATAGTTCGAATGCCTATCGCCTCAGCTGTGTGCAGTAAACGAATACGAAGTCTATTGGAAAGATTCGGTGGGATACGATGAATTACTTTGAAGGCTCTCGTTTTCTCGATTACATGACCACTACTGTAAGTTAGAAAGGAGACAGAAGTTGGCATGACGTAATAAGTGTGAGATAATGACTAATCAATAACCTCGTGTAGAATGGACAGAAACTAGTGGAAGGGCGATAAAGTGCTTTTATGTAAAATCTGTATGAGAAAGCAATGTTATTCATAAACAGTAATAGAGTGGTAATAAAATGTGGATGATGGGAATAATAATGATAATAAAATAATAGTAGTAATAACAATAATAATGGTGGACTTACATAATAAAATAGAAAAAGCAAAATTATAGTAAGAACTTTACTCTGGCCATGGTAGGGCAAGAGAATGTATGTATCGCTTTTGAATGCAGAGGTCCGGTTTCAGATCTCGAATAGCTAATGCTTCAGCTATGTACAGATGGCGTATCCGAAGTCCCTTTGTACGATATTGAGGATTGTGTAACACTGTGAAGCATTCATGTGGGGGTGCTCGATGTCCAGAGATGACAAGTGTTCGAGGATCGAACTGTTGCCATTCTTCTTTTCTCCTCTGGCTAACCAAGCTGGGCAGTTCCAGAATACGTTTGTGGACTTGACGTTACGTACGGCCGATATACTTTGCTCCACACGAGCAAGTAAATTTATAAATACACATTGAAGTGGCCAAAAACGGTATCTTGTCCTTAGCGTTAGACTGGATTAACTGTCTGCAGGAAAATGTGATACGTAGAGTGGCTGTTGGAAATGTCTTCTTCAGACATTTAGAAAGGCGGTTTCTGAGAATTTCCGCTGCGATATCACCTTTGAATTCTAGGTTCATGAAGAGAGTCTTCTTAGGAACCGTTGCGATGTTTGACACCGGAGGCTTCTCCTTCATGTTTTTGTCGATAAATCTTGGCGGATACCCATTCTCTAGTAGGGTTTCACGTAACAAATTTAATTCTTTCTCTACCATGTCTTCCGAGCAGATTTTTCTAATCCTTGAACACAATGTGCGTACCAGGTTTCTCTTTCGGATCAGTGGGACAAAGCTCTGGAAGTTGATAAACTGTCCAGTCCATGTTGGCTTGCGGTATATCGATCTTTGGATCGTACAGTCGTGTCTTCTGGTGAGTAGTACATCAAGGAATGGAAATGTGTTGTTCGATTCGCGTTCTAAGGTGAATCTTATTGATGGATGCGCTGCGTTGAAGGTTTTGAGGAGAGAATCTAAATCACATTTTTCATCACAGATTATAAACGTATCATCTACGTATCTCTTGTATAAGTGCAATTGACTTATCTTTTTTTGGTGTTCCATCTTTTTTATGTCTTGTTAATTGAACGTTGAGAAAAGATATTTTTGTGTTGGAATCCTTCTCTCTAATGCGAACTAAATCGCAGGACTGTAGCTGTTGAAAAAGTCCAGAATATCCTCCAAATCTTCCTCATTATTGGAGGCAATGAAAGTGTCCTCCATGTACCTCTTGTAAAACCCAAAAGTGTCAGACAAGCAACAGGCCCATTGGTGAGGTAATCATCACCAAGCAAAGTGTGTTTTTAGTAAGCTGCCTTTCGAGTAATGACAAAGATTCACCATATTCTTCTCTTTTCTTCTTCTTATATTTTATAGATTCAATGCATATTTAACAATGATGGATGGTAGTACTGTTCTTCCCGCTTCATTCAACTCTTTAACTGATTGTTCGAATGAAGCTCAATTGATTACTGGATATAAAACAACCTCTGCTAAATGTCTGGATGTGAAATTGATCATAACCTACACTAGTGTTGATGAGTAAGTATATGAGTTTACAAAATTATTATATTTATCATTTGTTATTTAGTAATAGACAAAAGACAAGTAGTTCAGCAAAGAGTCTCTTTTCGACGGCGAATTCATTTTCATAGCTGTACAATCGCAAATATTTATATGGTTGTTTTGTATGTGTGTGTGTACATTAAATTTGTCAAACGAAAATACATTTAGTAAGTTCAGATGAATTGGATGTTGATATAAGAGGGTAGTAACAAAAGTGATGAGTTGTCACAAACGATTGTTAAAGAAGAGTTACGTAATAAAACGAAATTACAATTATTAAGTTCAGGTGAATCTCAATTAGTTACTGCAAATATTCAACAAATGCCATTCAGCCACAAAGTTCACTCTTGAAATTGAAAACGAATCTAAAATCCCTTTTCTTGATGTTGAACTTACAAGGAGAGCTGACGGAACTTTAAGAAGGCCCATCCATAGGAAACCCACATGGAACGGCCAACTGACAAGCTTCTACAGCTGGGTACCAATCAGTCAGAAAAGAAACCTAATTAGATCTCTTGCCACTCGTGTCCGACGCATCTGCAGCTCTGATACCATAGAAGAAGAACTAAACTTCCTGAAAGAAACCTTCATACAAAACGGTTACCCATCAAGATTCGTAGACAAAAACATCAAACAAAAAATCCAAAAGCAAGAGACAGCATCCGTGCCAAAACAGATACTTTATATGAACCTCGACTTCAAAGGAGACCTACTCAATGACGTCCTTAGAAGGAGAATCTCCACCTCTTTAAGAAGAACTTTCTTTGCGGCAACATTGAGAGTAGTGTTCTGTAGTCGCCCGCTGATCTGCAGAAGCCCAAAAGACAAGATCCTGCACCTGACCACTTCTATGTGTATATATCAGTTCACCTGTTGCTGTGGAGCCAGGTACATCGGTCGTTCAACGCGCATCCTGTCAACCACTTCTACTCCCATGGTAACAACTCTGTTGATTTAACTTAACTTTTGTTTGTTTGTTTGATCTGACTTAACTTTTGTTTGTATGCTTATTTTTCTACTTAAAACCCTTGTGTAATTCCGTATATTTTGTTTCCATGTACACCCTGAGTACAACTCTTTCATCAAACTATTCATGTTATTACGTAACTCTTCTTTAACAATCGTTTGTGACAACTCATCACTTTTGTTACTACCCTCTTATATCAACATCCAATTCATCTGAACTTACCAATTGTATTTTCGTTTGACAAATTTAATGTACACACACATACAAAACAACCATATATATTTGCGATTGTACAGCTATGAAAATGAATTCGCCGAAAAGAGACTCTTTGCTGAACTACTTGTCTTTTGTCTATTAATATTTAGTAATACGTAGTTTTCCACTTTTATTATTATTATAACAAAATCAAAGTTTTTTATAAACTTCAGTTGTGTCTGCTCGTTCAAGGTGCTTCTAACACACAAAACTAGATAAATTCTTTTCTGATGCGGCTGTAGATGTGGGCTGCTGCTGAATCCGAAACTAGGACCAAAGGTCAATATGGTAGAGGCTGGAAATTTCGAACCTTTGGGATAAATATGTAATCTGGTTATTCAATAGTAGTATGCTGGTAACGGCCAAGTTAAACTTTAAGCACCACTAAATGCCAATCAGCGAATAACGTTGAATAGTCCCATGAGTTCCATCACATGAGTTGAAGGTTGTATTCCGCTTGATTCGAGTCAAATGCCGGCTCTAACGCAGTTACGCTTGCAGTCTGGTGAGGATAAGGTTTTCGAGTATTGCTTGGATATGGGGTTGCTTAGGAAGGAGAGGATTTGTTCATGTGGAGGTGTCATGAGTATAAAAGGTTTCAGCAGGTCAATTGATGGATATGTTCATCGCTGTGCAATTTGTTTGAGATGAGTGAGTGTTAGGGAAGGTAAGCTGATGATTTTAATATTTCGTAGGAGCATTTTTTGCTAGGTCCCATCTCTCCCTAACCCAGATTTTGGACATTTGTAACTGCTGGGTTTTAAAACAGCCTGTGAGAAGCGTAGTTGCTGAAATTGAAAATAGCCGCGTGTCAGCAGTTTAGTGGTACCAGCATTGCAAAACATCGCCTCATGGAAAATGGAGAGAATTACTTCGTTATTGGGAGGAGAAGGTGTCGTCGTAAATGTGGACGAAACTGTCTTACTGAAGAAAAAAATAACCGTGGTCATGAGCGTGCAAACAATGTTTGGGTGATCGCCCTATATGACACCTCTCTAATGAAAGGATTCGTTGACAGAATTGTCCGCAAGCCGAAATTGTAGACAACAATTTACGTCAATGTTTAAGTCCCGAATCGAGGTCATGAGAAAAACAATGACAAAGCTTAACCTTGATGAACTCACCTACCAATCACAGCAGACTTAACGTGTGCAGATAATAAGATTCGCAGATGTGCCACCAGGCTATCTAAGAAACGGCCATAAAGAGATGACAGAATAACATTCAGCAGGAAAACAACCAATCAGAAGAGGTTGCTTCTCTGCTAACAATAACGCTAATAATAATGTACATAAAAATCTATAAATATCTCTTGGTTTTCTTAATAAACGATCTGTTGCCTGGCCCTTGTCTTCTGTCGTTACACCTGTCTTCCCTTGGATATATTCATCACAGAGTAAACCATCCTATTGATTTGTGGATCCCTTTACAGGGACATACACGAATTTTATAGAAGGATTTTGGGGAAGATTAAAAAACAGGATTAGGGCTATAAATTGATCTTATAAAAAATGTTATTTATAGTCACTTGGATATATATATGTACAGAATGTGGTGTAATTTTTCTCTTGATACTCCTATGCCAAACTGGGAGATGTTTCTTATATATGTCAGAGAAAGATACTCTATGCAACAGTTTTATGCAGTTTTTTATGAATTTTTTCATAAGTATGCGTTTTTTCATAACCAAAAATGCCTCTTTCATGTGATTGGTTCGTTGAAGGTCGTTCGCTGATTGGTTGTTGGTGGTGCTTAAAGTTTAACTTTGCCAAGTTAACAAAATTCTACTATCATAGCCATCTGTATGGGGTTGTGAGTTTGCAGTATTGAAGTGTCTTAAAGTAAAACAAAATATCCGTCCACCATATCGTGAGATTTCAGTCTAGGTAGTGTTTTGGAAAGACTAACTTATTTGTTAATGTCCTAATCTGCTTAATCGGTTAACCGGAATTCGGATGGTTTTCTTTAGAAAAAAACCTGACTGTCTGGTTTCATTACTGACCGTAATACTCTGCAAACATTTCTATGCTCTGTGCAGTAGCTTGAGTCTCTTACTCTTAAAGCCTTTATTGAGCAGAGAAACTGAGCACATTATTGTTATGAATTTTATTTATTTAGTATTTTATTCTGTTGAGCTCCGAGTGGAGCTTCAGCTTTGAAGTTTCAGTAGCAGTGGTGTTTATATTTTATGGGTTGGGGTTGCCAGCCTCACTTATAATCTTCCTCCTTCACCTGGCTTATCACTTGCTGGCTAAGCAAGATTTAAGAGTGAGTCGACCGGCGATCGAACCCCGGACCACTTGTAGCGTAGTTAGCGAGTATCCTACCAAAGAACCACCAACGCGCACTGTTATGCATTAGAGCAGTAGAATACTTTAGGCGAGAGGTTAATCTCTTGCTCCGTGAAAACTCGTTTTCTTATTTCGAATCACCGCTGTTTACAACTATTTATTATTCAAAATATTACCTCTAAGTGTTTGCTGTTTAAAAGTTTATTTGTTATAAAAATTGCTTAAGCCATTTCTGTGTAGTGAACTGATAACTTGAGTGAGTACTCATCAGAACCCCACTAGCTAAATTATATCATCTAGGGAACGATGTCAATTACAATTAATTTTTACATTGGGGACTGGATTGTATTCCACTGGTTGAATGGTCTACGAGCTCGCATTTCCAATGGAAGGTCCTAGGTCCTGCGTACTGAGGAAGAATCACAAACTAGGACAAAACAGCTGTTCAGTACTCTCTGCTGGTTTTCCAATGGTTCTCTAACTAAAGTCAGCCCGTACTCGAACCTGTAGTTCACATAAATCAAGAAGTTATAGTGCGGTGAGAGCTGGCTGCTAGCCAAAGTTGGTAGACAGAGTAATTGACTTCAATGTTTATGTCCCCAATATTGGTGGTGAGAAAATGAGAACAAAGGCTTTGCGTAGGCGGATACAGTTAGCATATGGATGATCTGACACAGCCACAAAGAGATGCAAGGTTAACTTTCTGTGAGAAGCAACCAATCAAAAGACTGTATTTTCTACTAACACTAATCTACAATAATGTACATTAAAATCTATAAATATGTGTTGATTTTCCTTAATAAACGATCTGTTTCCTGGCCCTTGTCTTCTGTTGTTACAATAGGTGTCAGCAAACTTTATTCACTCAATAGTTGAACATGATTACTTTTAAATTTTGTTATTATCTTTATTTTCGAGTTGTATAATTTTTCTCTTGACATTTACATACCTTTTCTCCGCCTTTTTGTAAAACAGAAAAACTAAAAGATGGAAGCACTGTGAAGCTAATTTTCTTATCGTAATATTTTTTAATCATCAGTTTTGTATTCAAGTATTGGTTTGCATGGATTTGATTGATTGGTAACAGGATTTTATCGTGAAATGACTTTGGTTAGAGAACCATTGGAAAACCTGGCGAGGGACTGGATAGCTCTTTCGTCCTAGTTCGGGACTCTTCAATAGTACGTGCCCATTGCCTGGGTTCGAACCCAGGACCTTCTGGTTACAAGGCGAGCTCGTAGACCACTAAGTCACTGGTTCACGTCTCTATTCCATATATTTTTACTTACTTTCAGAACACTGGTGTCTCGAATTCGGCTTTTGAAGTGATAATGTCCACTAGATCTCCTCAAAGATGTCCGGTGTTACCATCCTTATTTACTTTTATTATAAACACACTAATGGATGTTATACTTTTCGACTTTGACGTCTTAAGAATTGCCGTGCTGCTTCAGTGAAAAAGT